TGACTGGATGGTGGCTAATGTTGTACCTTTGTTTAAGAAAGTTTGTAAGGAGAAACCAGGGAACCATAGACCTGTGAGTCTAACTTTGGTTGTGCGTAAATTGTTAGAGGTGATTAAAATAGATAGGGTTTATGGACATTTAGAGAGGCAAATTAGGGATAGTCGGTATGGTTTGTTGCAGAAAAATCGTGTCTCACAAACTTGACCGAGATTTTTGAGGAAGTCAACAAAAAGATTGATGATGGCAGAGCAATAGACATTGTTTACTTGGATTTTAGTAAAGCCTTTGACAAGGTTCCGCACGGTAAACTAATTAATAAAGTTAGGTCACATGGGGTTCAGGGTGACCTTGCCAATTGGAAACATAATTGATTTAATGGCAGGAGACAGAGAGTAATGGTTGTAGAGGGTTGCCTTTCGAACTGTCACCCGTGATGTTCCGCAGGAAGCGGTTCTGGGTCCTCTTTTGTTTGTCATTTATATAAATGATTTGGATGAGAATATAGAAGGCATGGTTAGTAAGTTTGGGAATGACACCAAAATTGGTGGCATAGTAGAAAATGAAGAAGGTTTTCTAAATTACAAAGGGACTTTGATCAAATGGGTCAATGGGCTGAAAAATGGCAGATGGAGTTTAAACTGGATAAATGCAAGGTATTGCATTTTGCACAATAAACAAGGGTGGGACTTATACAATTAATGGTAGGGCCCTGGGTGGTGTTGTAGAACAAAGGGACTTTAGCATGCAATTTACATAAGTCTTTAAAATTTGTATCGCATACGGACAGGATGGTTAACAGAAGTGATTGACTTGCTTGCCTTCATTGCTCAGTCCTTTGAGTATAGGAGTTAGGAAGTCACATTGAGGTTGGACATTAGTGAGGCCTCTTCTGGAATACTGTGTCCATTTCTGGTCACCCAGTTATAGGAAGGATATTATTAAGCTGGAGAGGGTTCAGAAGCAATTTACCAAGATGTTGCCAGGTATGGAAGGTTTGAGTTATAAAGAAAGGCTGGATTGGCTGGGACTTTTTTCACTGAAACATAGGAGGTTGAGAGGTGACCTAATATAAGTTTATGAAATAATGAGGGGTATAGATAGAGTTAGTGGTCTTTTCCCTCGGATGGGGGATTTATTAAGTTGAGTCCATTTTTAAGGTGAGAGGAGAGAGATTTAAAAAGACATGGGAAGCAATTTTTTCACACAGAGGGTGGTTCGCGTGTGGAATGAACTTCCCGATGAAGTGGTGGATGCAGGTACAATTACAACATTTGAAAGTTTTTGGATAGGTACATGAATAGGAAGGGTTTGGAGGGATATGGGTGACTGTCTGTCTGGAGTTTGCACATTCTCCCTGTGTGTGCATGGGTTTCCTCTGGGTGCACTGGTTTCCTCCCAGAGCCCAAAGATGTGCAGGTTAGGTGGATTGGCCATGCTAAATTACCCAAAGTGTCAAGGGATTTCAGGCTAGCTAGATCATCCATGGGAAATGCAAGGTTACGCGGATATGGTAGGGGAATTAATCTGGCTGAGATGCTGTTTGGAGGGCTGGTACAGACTCAATAGGCCGAATGGCCTGTTTCCACACTGTAGGGATTCTATCATTACACACAACAACCACATCTCTCGGTTCCTCCATTGTCTCTCTATTGTGAGGCTGCTTCTTTAACATCCAGTACTGGATTCTTAGAAATTTCCTCCTATTAAATATTGGATGGATCAGAGCCATTGTCTTTGTTTACTACAATTAAGTCCATTTCACCACTATCAACTCCACTCTTCTCCTGGCAACTACCTGAAGTTGAACCTTACTGTTTACAAACTTGGTGTCATTACTGACCGTGGAGAATAAATTTCTGAACACATATCTGTGCCATCGCTGAATTGCTGTGGAAGCCAGCTGCATGTTGGTTAGTCTAGCTTTAGATTGGTTAATGAATCATTGGACTGCTCAAACTATTATTATATTATAAGCTCTCCATAACTAGGTCTTACAGCACTGATCATTCTCTCTTCAAGTTTCTCAGTAATGTGTGATCTTACATCATCATTATGAGAGTGCTATTCACACAATCTCAGACACTAATCCAGACAAACTCAAATGGTACAAAACCCTCATCCACACCTTTCTTACTGTGATATTTGCCAATTCAAATGCATTCAGGCCATTGTCCCACATTCTACCCTACATAAGTTTGATATCATCCAAAGTTTCACTACCTGTGCCCTTATCCGTACCAAATCCCATTCACCCTTCACCCCTGTGCTCACTGACCTTCATTGCATCCTTTTTACACAACGTATCAATTTTAAAATTCTGCCCCTTGTTTTCAAATCCCTTCACACCTCATCCCTGTTTATCTCTGCAATCTTCTATCGGCTCACAGCCATCTTAAATATCTGCATTCCTCTTATTCCGGCCTCTGGAAATCCAAATAGATCACATATACAGGCTTTTCTTTGTCTAACTTGCTCATTACCTCCTCAAAAAATTCTGAAGTCACACGACACCAGGTTATAGTCCAACAGGTTTATTTGAAATCACAAGCTTTTGGAAAATTGCTTCTTCATCGAGTGAAGTGGACTTCATATGTTTTTGATTTACATTTAATCTGAAAGTACCCTACAATAGATAATCAGGTTAGCAGCTATTGTCATTCAATGAAATCGTGGTTTTCTAGTGATGTCACTTAATGTTTTGTTCTGGGCCTTTGATCCTGATTCATTTATCCCATTAAAAAGACCCTCCAAACTATGAACCAAATAAAGCAAGCAAAAAGCACCTCTTCCCCTCTGCACTGAGTTCCCATGCTGCTCTAAAATCCTAGAAATAAATACTCGATCACGCTATCTCTCACTGCAGTTGTGATGTCTGCTTGTAGATTGTGCAAAGTTTTCAGATTATTTCTAAACATTAATGATTATGAATTCCTTCTGAGGCTTGGAAGTTGTCTGTTTTAATTGTGAAAATCCTTGGTTTCATGTTTCTCCCTCTGCATTGAATGCTTATTTCAAATGTTGATCATTTTTCTTACTGAAATAGTTCTTTGTGACTTAGCAATTTAGTCTCCCCTATCTTCAATCCATGTCTTCTGAATTATATACAAGGCAAAATAAATGCGTATTTCCAAATCATTGAAATGGTTCGTTATTTTAAAAGTTTCAGTTAAGTCTCCCATTATTTTCTTTTCACAAGAGATAAATATTTCAGAATCAATAATTGCAGTTCATACTTGAAACCTTCATTTCATTTATCACTTAATGGCTCCTTTTGTAAAACCTCTTGACGTCACTGACAAAAATTTGAAAATTGCAAGATGCCATGCTATCAATTCGGTAAACTGTATGTCTAAGAATATTTTAGCCTGTAAGAGTTTTTTTTTTGTTGTGTTTCAAGTAATTTCATAGCAATTTGTGTGAAATGTACATGTGTCTAAATAAATACAGAGAGAATCATTGAGGAAAAGCAAGATTCAATTGCTTTTTGGATTTTCATTTTCTACATTAATTTTACACTTAAGAGTAGAGGCTGAGAGCCCCACTTCCTCTCCAATTCCTGCCTACACATCACCTCTCTTTGTACCATACCATGCTACTCATCTGAAGGGAGAAAGAAAAATTGGGAAGGTGAGAGAAAGAGAGGCAGAGGGAACAAAAAAGAAAACAAATTGGGCTATGGCATCATAAAGCAAGAGCGAAAAAGCAGAGTAAGAAGACATAAAGATGAAATAAAATCCAAGCAGACAAGAAACAGACTGTATTCTGAGTTACTGGTGTCCAGGAGGTTTTTTTTTAATTTATTGCAAAAAATATATTTTATTCATTAAAAATCATCTACATTCACAGTACTAAGACAGTTCTGTACAATCTTTGCTTATCATAAGAAACAAACATTGCAATTTGACATTCCTTGCATTTCTTACTCATGCAGGACAGCATTTACATACATTGAGGCGACAAGAGGGTCTGATAACTGAGCAGATCCTCATCAGACTTCAGCAGAAAGACTTTACATGGTAGTCTTTCTTCACCAGGCTTTGGTGGTAGCTACCCCAAGCTTTAGTGTGTCCCTCAGCACATAGTCCTTGGACTATGCCACTTTGCAACACTTGGTTGAGGTCAACTCTTTCTGCTGGAAGACCTACAAGGTTTTGAGCAAAGCAAAGAGCATCTTTCAGTGAGTTGACAGTCCTCTGGGGTAGTCGATATTTATCCCTGTGTACATCCCGGAAAACAGACCATAGTGCTCAGGGTCCTGAGTCACGGAGCTGCTCAGGATCAACCTTGACAAGAACCAGTGCATGTCTCTCCATACCTTCTTTGCCCATTCCAGAAGGAATTGGTGACTGTTTTTTTTCAAAAATATACTTCATTTATAAAAAATCATTATATTACCACACTTAGTCACTAGAGCAGTTCGGTTCTATATAGTCTTTGCATATTGAGGACAAAACGAAAACCCAGGCATTTCTCACTTATACAAGACTATATTTACATACATTTGAGGTGTGACAGTGTATCCAGGAGGTTAACTCACAGACTGTAACATTAGTCTGCAATATTCTTCAATTTGGATGCCTGGCTGATTTGAATGATCAGAGTACCTAGAGCTACTTTTTAACTTGAATTGTGTCATCCTCGTTAATGTCATATATCACAACATTAATACATATCTTTACTAACTTATCTCTAAAATTACCTATGATTTCATAACATTTTTCCAGAGCCTGAGAAAGGGCTGGGGTGGGATTTCTGACTGTGCTGATCTCCAGGACCTGACAGCACCACCCCTCTATCCAGTGGTGACAAATCAGAGCAAGGTTGCCCCTGTGCCTTAGATAGAGAGATAGTCTGTGAGGAGCTGCTTCTCCAATCAGAAATTCCGTCTCTCATGCTTCTGCAGACTCAGACTGCTTCTCATTCCTTTTCTGCGATTGGCTGCCTCATGAACCTACCAACAGAGAATCTGAGCGAGAACCAGCCTGTGTTTGAAGGTACAGTTCAGTGTGTCATTGGTTGCCCTGAACAAGTTGCTGGGATTGCTGTCAGTTGCGTCTAAGCCAAAGTGGACGCCATGAATCAGGGACACGAGGCTGCAAGGGGGGAAGTAAGTAGCTGCTAGGATCTGGGGTGCAAGTCGATCCAAGTGACAAGAGAAGGAAGAAGACCGCAAGGGGTGGGATAAAGTGTGGCTGCACTGGGAGGGGAAAGAGAAGATTGCAAGGTGGAAGGGAAGAAAAGAATGGGAAAGAAAATGTTGCAATGATGGGAAGGGAGGAAGTGCAAGATGGGGGGAATGGAGAAGGCTGCAAAGGAAAGAAAAATATTTTAAACCTATCAACTAACTGAGACATAGGAATTCACCAAGGTAATGATTCCTTGAACAGGAATTTGGAATCCTTAGCTTAAGGCTGCATAAGTTCAGTAAGCACTCCATGGAGAAAACAATATGGTGATGGCTATTGCAATGAACAATTTGGCTGTTGTGAAATTTAAATCTGGAGCTGAGATCTAATGAGCAGTAAATAGGCAGAAAACAAAAACAAAAACAAAGTTGCTGGAAAAGCTCAGCAGGACTGGTTTTTGGTTATTGGTTTTTACCTTGGTGAATTCCTATGTCTAAGTTAGTTGATAGGTTTAAAATATTTTTCTTTCCTTTGCAGCCTTCTCCATTTCCCCCATCTTGCACTTCCTCCCTTCCCATCATTGCAACATTTTCTTTCCCACTCTTTGGTTTTTATTTTGTAAATAGGCAGAAACTGCTTGTTAAAATCTTCCGACTTTCCATTTTGCCAACTGCATTTGTGATGAAAATTAATTTTCTGTGACCTCACCGATCTGCAGAAGTTGATATTAAGTGATTTTTATTTAATATGGCAGTATCTGTCAGTTATTTTGCAAAATCCTTTGGCTGCTAACTTATGCCTATTGCCTTGTGCCACTTTAAATATGTATTGTCTGGGGAATTAATACTGCCCTTGTATAATCTGTTATATAAAGGATGTAATAGCAGAGGATTTAAAAATACATAATACGATAAAACAGAACCCGCAAGGCTTCACGAAAAGGAAATAAAGCCTGAAAAAAAAAACCTAAAATTCCTTGAGGAGGTAAAAAGCAATATGGATAAAGGGAACCAGTCTATGTATTACATTTGGACTTCCAAAAGACATGTTTTAAGATACTGTACATAAGGCTACTTAATTAGATCAGACACTATAATAAAAACTGAAAGAACTGCGGATGCAGGAACAAAAACAAAATTGCTAGAGAAGTTCAGCAGATCCTAAATCTGTGAAGGAAGAAACAGAGTTAACGTTTCGGGTCCGGTGACCCTCCCTCAGAACGCTATAATGTTGAGATTTAGGATATTAGCAGACATAGAAGACTGGCTAACTAATAGAAGACCTCAGCTACAAGGATAGATTGGAGAAGTTAGGACTGTTTTCAGTGGAGAGAAGAAGGCAAAGAGTAGATCTGATAGAAGTCTTCAAAATCATGAGATGTCCAAATGGAGAAGACAGGGAGAAACTGTTGCTGCTCGTATAAGCATGAAGAATGAGAGGGCACAGATTTAAAGGGATTTGCGAATATGAGAAAGGTGTTTCACATAATGAATGCTTTGGGTTTGGAATGCGCTGCCTGAAAGTGTGGTTGAGGCAGGTTCATTTGAGGCATTCAAGAGGACATTGGACGATTATTTGAAAATAGTGTGCCAGGGTATGGAAGAAAAAAGGCAGGAGAATGTCTCTAAGTCATAATAGTCATTGGATATCAGTGCAGACACAATGGGCCAAATGGTCTCCTTCTGCATCATAACTCTTCTGTTATTTTGTGACACTAATCATTACCATAGAAACAAGATCTCTTGTAATCTATGTCCTTCCTGATCACCAGAGTTCTGTATTAAATGTAAACTCTTTTTTATAACTGTGAATCTTCAGAAGCAGAGAAAGCAGAGCATCAGCCTTTTTTTGGATGAAGCTCCAGTTCTAGCACTGCAGGCGGATTTTGCGAATCCTTTTTTATTGTGAGAAAATTACATACAGCGGAAAAGAGATGTTCCAGGTGTACAAAAGTGACCAGCTGCAAAAATAACATGCCAAACCTAAAATAGCTCTTTGCAGAAAGAGTGCTTGGGAATTAAACTATAACTTTAATGACTTTTAATAATTTGGTGGAGTTGGAGGTCCTAGATCTTACACTTTTTAAACAGATTGTTGATGGGATCTGGACATCGTTGGCTTGGAAAACATTTATTGCTCATCCTTAAATATCCAGAGGGCAGTTCAGAGTTAACCGCATTGCTGTGGGTTCAGAGTCACATGTAGGCCAGACCAGGTAAGGATGGCATGTTTAATTTCCTGAAATATACATTAGTGAACCAGATATTTTCTTTTTATGACACTCAACAGTGGTTCCATGGTTAGCTTTCTTTGAAATTCCAGGTTTTTAATTGCACTCAAGTTTCACCATCTGTCATGTTAGGATTTTGAACTCGTGTCCCCAGAACACTATGATGTTTGAAGACAGTGTGAGTCATACAGATTTCAAGAAACCTGTTTTCTGTTTTGAGAAACATTAACTTTTTGTTGCCAACTTTGATTTAGGAGTCTCTTTATCCTATAAGATTGAATTTTACACAAAAAGAAAACAGTCAGCAATCAGGGTGCTTCATAGATGCTCTCTCTCCGTGAGCTCCAGCAACTTATTTTACACTGATTACTCCAGTATGCATGTACCATGACACCATGACACTCTTTTCAAATAATCGTCCAATGTCCTCTTGAATGCCTCAAATGAACCTGCTTCAACCACACTTTCAGGCAGTGCATTCCAAACCCAAAGCATTCATTATGTGAAACACCTTTCTCATATTCGCAAATCCCTTTAAATCTGTGCCCTCTCATTCTTCACGCTTATACGAGCAGCAACAGTTTCTCCCTGTCTTCTCCATTTGGACATCTCATGATTTTGAAGACTTCTATCAGATCTACTCTTTGCCTTCTTCTCTCCAATGAAAACAGTCCTAACTTCTCCAATCTATCCTTGTAGCTGAGGTCTTCTATGGTTTTGCTCTCGTTTGAACTCACCAGCGGCACATAAACTTGCCAATGACAGGATCTGTTGGGATTAGTGCTGCCACTGCCAGATTTAAAGCCCAGCTCTGCACAAGGTCAATCAATGCCAGCCATAAATATCCCTTCACAGCACACCTAACTGTGAGAAGGCTTATCATCTCCATGACGGCGATGGTGGAAGCATGGGCTGTAATGTATGCATTCTCAGCCTCAATCAGAGGATTGTGTAATGGAGAAATTAGTCATGGTTGCAGAAGGTAGTCTTTGACACCCAGTAACCAAACAAAGCAAAGCATCAGGCCCTTGAAATGAAGCAGGATCATGAGAATTTTCAAAGATACAGCTACTGAGACGACTCCCCTGGTACGTGGGGCAGACTTTGAAGATGTGGTACCAATGGTCACAAATGACTTGTACATTGATGGAGTGGAACTGCTCTCTGTTGATGAAGTCAGCTATATTACGAAATGGTGCTTTCAGTGCAAGGTGTGTACAGTGTCTTGCAGCTGGGAGAAACCTGCCATGCTGGCAAAGCATAGAGCCTAAGCTGCAGTACTGACCTTATTACAGAGAAACAAGATGAAGGGGTATGGTCTGTCATAAATTGACGTGCTAACAGCTTTGTTACATTTGTGGCCCTGTAGGTTCCCAGTGGATAATTGGAAGCTGCCACATGTATAAAACTTTAATCCAGCTGACACCTTGACAAGCCGCCGGAATAAGTTGACCACCCACGCTTTCAAGTTGCACATCCCAGTCCAGCAGAGATGGCATAGATCTGTGACAGTGTCACAGGATATCCTCAACCTGGAGGAAATGATGTGCCTCTGGGACGCAGGTACCTCTTTTGTATCTTGAGGGAATGTTCTGTTGTTTTTTTTTTCCTTCATGTGGAGGTTGTTTGGCAGCTGCTGGAGGTTGGTGCTTGTCCAGGGCTGGCAATCATTTCCCCCACAATTTTGCGGTGAAATCATTGCCACAGTGATGTTATCATCTGCTGTAATTAGATCCTTTCTAATGAACTGCCCAGGGAACAATCACAATCAGAACAGGTTCTTAGTAATGTGAGCTGTCAGCATTTGTATTAGACGGAAATAACATTTCAGCATAGTCCTCAATATCTTAGTCATACATCAAGGAAACAGACTCCAAGTTTCCCAAACTAAACTAGTCCAACATGCCTGCACTTGGCCCATATCCCTCTAAGCCGTTCTGGTTCATGTACTTATCTAAACGTCTTTTAAATGTTGTAACTGTACCTGCATCTACCATTTCCTCTGGTAGTTCATTCCATATACGAACCACCATCTGTGTGAGGAGTGGCACTCAGGTCCCTTTTAAATCTTTTCTCCTCTCACCTTAAAATTATGCCCTCTAGTTTTGAACTCTACTACCGAACGGAAAAGAATTTTGTAATTTACCTTATCTATGCCCCCAATTAATTTATAAACTTCTATCAGGTCACCCCTCAACCTCCAACGTTCCAGGGGAAAAAAAGTCCCAGTTGATCCAGCCTCTTCTAATTCAAATCGTCCAGCCCAGTAACATCTTTGTAAATGTTTTCTGTAGCCTTTCCAATTAAATAATATCCTTCCTATTATAGGTTGACCAGAACTGTATGCCGTACTCCAAAAGTGGCTTCAACAATATCCTGTACAGCTGCTACATAATTTCTGTATTCAATGCTCTGACCGATAAAGGCAAGGGTGCCAAATGGCTTTTTCACCACATTGTCTACCTGTGATGCCACTTTTAGTGAACTATCACCTGAACATCTAGGTCTCTCTGTTTGACTACACTCCCCAGGTCCCTACCATTCACTGTGTAGGTCCTGCCCTTGTTTGTCTTGTCAAAATCTAAATTAAACTTCACCTTCCAATCCTCAGCCCATTGGCCCAACTGATCGAGATCCTATTATACTCTTAGATAACCTTCCTCATTGTCCACTCTGCCACCAACTTTGGTGTCATCTGCAAACTTGCTAACCATGCTTCCCATATTCTTATCCAAACCGTTTATACAAATTCCTGCAGAACACTGCTGGTCACAGACCTCTAGTCCAAAAAGCAACCCTCCACCACCATCCTCTATCTCCTACTATCAAGCCAATTTTGAATCCAACTAGCTAGCTTTCCCTGGATCCCATGTTATCTAACTTTACTAACCAAACTACAACGCAGCACCTTGTCAAAGGCTTGCTAAAGTCCATGTAGACAACATTTACCACTCTGCCTTCATCTATCTTCTTGGTCACATTTTCAAAAGACTCAATTAAGTTTGTGAGGCACGATTTCCTATGAACAAAGCCATGCTGACTATCCCTAATCAGTCCTTGTCTCTCCAAATGCACGTAAATCCTGTCCTTCAGAATCCAACAATTTCAAGACTGCTGGAATATCTTGTTAATGACCTTTGACGTAGTGGTCCTTATTCTGATATTTGCAGCACAAGCTGTGCCACACAAATAGAGAAGATTGTCAGTGTGGTAAGAATGTAAGAAAAAACTGAAACCCTGAACCTCCTGCATCACCAAAGGAAGACATCATTTTATGTAACAGCATGTAGCAAATACATACAGTTCAAGATCAGAGACATCAGCTCTGTCATGCAGTTTACGAGATCTTGCAATGCCTTTGAGAATTGTGACAGGTAAGTGACAATTTGAAGGTCAACTGTGATTATATCTGCTGCACAGAGATGACTGATAACAACCAATGACATGGTCAAGATGGCTGGTGACAAGAATTTACATTCCACCCATTTGGAAAGTACGTGTGTTTCCCATGCAGAGTACTATCTTTACAGATATTTTCAACCTGGACTGTGTAAGTAAATGGCAAGTCAATGTAACATCCTCGTGAAGGGCATCACAGACTGGCTTAACCAGCAATGCCAACATCCCACGAATTAATTAAAATACTTCAGGTACTTGGTGAAAATTGGCACAAGGTATATGTAGAGACTAGAGACTTTGAGATTAGTTTGAAATAAAACTTTCAAGGGAGATTTAATCGGTGTTCAAAATTACAGAAGATGTTTGAGGAAGGAGAAGGAAATTATTCCCAATGACACAGATAGAAAACGCATGGGAGCAATTAAGAATTTTTTTTCTTACTAGGAGCACTGTTATGATTTGGAAAGTGACGGGGAGGCAAATTTAAAAAAACGTAACTGTGAAATGTGCAAAGAACTGGGAACCAGCTGGATTGTTCGGTAGACAGAGCTGGGCCGCAAAGTCATCCACTATTTTATAATTCTATGCTCCCATGTGCAAAGGTAAAAGTCATGATTCATTGTTTGCTACGTCTTGACTTTGCCAACTCCTGGAGGAGGAGTAGGAAGGGTGGGAGGTGGTCAACTGTTTCATTTCTGTTCTCACTGGTTTGCTGCCTGCTATGCAGCTAGGTGGAGCTTGTATTTAGGGCGACTGGTTTCCAGCCCATTATCTAACTGGACTTTATCTCCCTGTTGAGGAAGGATTCTGCTCTTGGTGTATTTAATGAGACTGCCCGCCTCCGCTGCAAGATTCTCTTTGTTTTGCTGATGGCTCCAAACTTGATGCATGTCTGATCCCGGTGGGGGTAAGTGTACAACTTTATTTGGAGATTTCTTCGTTTAGAATAGTCCGCCTTCGTAAAAAGAAAATGCCAATTATTTTCATGTCCGCTGTGTTTTAATTGCTGATCCGTTTCATTTCATTAATTTTTCGTTGCAGAGCTGCGTTAATGTAAATCGTATGTGTTTGTCCGTTTTATTTTGTTAGCCAGAAAACTGAAGCGGTTTTTTTCTCTCTCTCGCTTTAATTTGAGGAGCTGTAAAGTTCTTAGCTGCAAACAATGTTTCCCGTCACCAGAAAAGTGGGAAGGATAGGAATGAGAGCAGAAGAGCGGATTGTTTATGAAAAACAGTTTTTTTAAAGAGCCCGAGATGAGTTAACATGATGAATTTGGTATATATTATGGTTCTAAAAATTGCACGATATTTGCTGGATTGAATCTTTCCTTTTGTTATGAACGGTTTCCGTGTTTCAGTCGTTGTTTGAATATACGGAAATTGTGCTCAAATTTATCACTAGAAGCAGAGTCGAACCTTTTCACTTTTAAATTACCATCGGCGTGTTACCTGAGAAAGAATGACAAATACTTACATTTATATAGCATCTTTCTCAAACGCAGGACGCCCCAGTGCCGTTTGCAGCCACTTGAAATATATTCAGTGTTGGGAGTGTATGCAGGGAACATTGGCTACCAGCTTTCTCCCTCAAATGGCAACAAAATAAATGATAGATAATCTGATCAATCTTAGTTGAAGGATAAATGTCGGTCAGAATATCAGGAGTCTCCCCTCCTGTTCTAATAGTCCCACATGGGAACTATTCCATGCTCCTGAAAGTGTAACTGAAGCCTGGGTTTACTGAGTCACCTGAGATACAGCACCTCCAGAGAATGCAAGAGTCTTTCTTGGAAGTGTGACCTGCAAAGTGGGTGAGATTGCTACAAACTACCCAGGTAAATATTGTGGAGACCTAAACTGAAATCTTTGCTCCATGTTCCACAATCCAGTTGCCACTCCTGGTGGCATACAGTTATATGAATGGACAGTAGGTTATCAGTGCCAGGATTGTGAAAGCGAAATCGCGCTTGACAAATCTGCTGGAATTTTTTGAGGATGTAACTTGGTAGTGTTGATGAACTCGATGTGGTTTATTTGGACCTTCGGGAGGTTTTTGACAAAGTCCCACGTAAGAGATCAGTGTGCAAAATTAAAGTGCGCAGGATGGAGGTAGTGTATTGAGATGGCTAGAAAACAGTTTGGCAGACTGCAAGGAAAGAGTAGGAATAAATAGGTATTTTTCCAAAAAGCAGGCACCTAGAGGAGTACTGCAGGGATTAGTGCTAGGACCCATGTTAATCACAATATATAGTAATGATTTCAAGAGGGAACCAAATGTAACATCTCTAAATTTTCAGATGACACAAAGCTGGTCGTGAGGGTGTTTTGTGAGGAGGATTCAGAAATGTTACATTGTGATGCGGAAAGGCTGAGTGAGTGGACAAGTGCATGACTGATGCAGTATGATGTGGATAAATGTGAGGTTATCCAGTTTGGTAGCAAAAACAAGAAGGCAGAGTAGTATGTGAATCGCTATAAATTGAGATGGGGGAATGTGGAACAAGACCTGAGTGTCCTTGTGCACCAGTCTCTGAAGGTAAGCATGTAGGTGCAGCAGGTGGTAAAGAAGGCAAATGGCTCCCATAGCAGGAGGATTTGAGTATAGGAACAGTAATGTCTTGTTGTAATTATATAGGGCATTGATAAGACTATACCTGAAGTACTGTGTACAGTTTTGGTTTCCTTATCTGAGAAAGAATGTTCTTGCAATAGGGGAATCCACAGCAAAAGTTTACCTCATCTTTACCATGGAGGTCCAGTCCCTCTACACCTGCATTCCCCATGCAGATGGCCTAAAGGACCTCCGCTTCTTCCTGTCCCGCAGGCCCAACCAGTCCCCCTCCACTGACACCCTCATCCGCTTAGCCGAACTCGTCCTCACCCTCAACAACTTCTCTTTCAATTCCTCCCACTTCCTACAGACAAAGGGAGTGGCCATGGGTACGCGCATGGGCCCAAGCTACACCTGCCTCTTTGTAAGTTACGTGGAACAATGCCTCTTCCGTACCTACACCAGCCCTAAACCCCACCTCTTCCTCTGTTACATTGATGACTGTATCGGCGCCGCCTCGTGCTCCCACAAGGAGCTCGAACAGTTCATCGACTTCACTAACACCTTCCACCCCAACCTTAAGTTTACCTGGACCATCTCTAACACCTCTCTCCCCTTCCTGGACCTCTCTGTCTCCATATCGGGCAACCACC